GTACATGAAGTTAAAAAAAGCAAATCAACATGCAACATAAATTATATCCCATAATAAAAAGGTGTCTCCACACTGTACATGCTTTATGAGGAGAATTATACAGACAGACAGTCGAGGATGCAGTTACAGCCAACCTGTCTGTTGTGCTGTGTGACATGGAGATACTGTACGTCAGAAATGCTGCTCCCCGGTGTATTTCATATCGTGCAGATTGGAAAGGTTTTCTTTTATGCAGGTGTTGAATAGGCCCGGGCTTGCGCAGGTATTTGTCTACTCTCTGGCAGGGCCAAGGGATTAGAGAGGCAAGCACGGTGTTGCCATGGTTTCCAGTTCAGCTCTGCCTGCCTCCAACACCAATGATAGCCGTTCTTTGTTGGCCTTCAGAATCACACCAATCGTAAGTGGGAGAGATGATGATAAACAAAAAAAATCTGTGTACAATAGAAAAGCCGCTTGTGAGTCATTATATATGATATATTTGGCCCATAAAGCTCTATGTTCACGTTCATCTTTTATTATAAAAAAACTCAATGTGTGAACAGAACATTTGGGACATTTCTTTATAAGACGCCATCTGTCCTGTACCCTTAGATCTAATGTTACAATAATAAAAATATGATTATACCTAACTCACGATGCATGCATGGAACTGTTGAACCCAATGACTGTGTTATAATAAAACTCCTTAAACTCCTTCAATCGCATTTAACACTTTTAAATAAATATACTTTTCTAAGTTTAGCTTAACCTCACTTTGCGGAATAATTTTTCCACATTATTGTAAATTGAATATCTTTCATTTCTTTTTGTCGAATGTCAAAACCTGACATTTCAAATAGAGAAAATATTTATACCACATTATCGAACCACCAACCCTATGATGAAGACAATCTGCTGAACCTGTTGAGTCACGGCACTTTAAATATGTATCAGTTTTGATGAACCAGAACATATTGTGGACTTTTCTATGAAGTGTTTTTCAGTTATAATGCCCTTTGTGCAGCCAATGTACTGTACCAAAGCTTTGTCACTTCTCTGAAATATAACATGGTTTATAAACAGGAAGTGGAGAAATACTCGCCTCAATCAGGCATATAGACCTTTGAGTCTTATGAAACACACATTGTACAATAAGATTGACAATTTACTTTTTTGTAAAACTAAGAACATTTTAGTATTTCATCAAGCTTTACTTCCATGTCTAACATAACTAATTATGTCTGTATAAGATGTACACTGTAAGAAACGTACCGTGAAATTCACAGTATTTAACTGGCAGCAGTTGACAAGTTACTTACTGTAATTCATTTTACAGTATTTAACTGGCAACACTTGACAAGTTACTTACTGTAGTTCATTTTACAGTAAGTAACTTGTCAATTGCTGCCAGTTAAATACTGTAAAATGAATAACAGCAAGTAACTTGTCAATTGCTGCCAGTTAAATACTGTAAAATGAATTACAGTAAGTAACTTGTCAATTGTTGCCAGTTAAATACTGTAAAGGTAATCACAGTATTTACAAGTTTTTATTTACAGTAACAGTGTAAAATAAAACACAGTAACTTCCAAGTACTGTATTTGTGTTTACGGTAATAGTGTTTTAACTGTAAAATGAAACACAGTAAATAGCATTTACTTTATTTGGTATTACAGTAATATTTAATTACTTTATTTTTTGTTACGGCAGTAGTGTTATAGCTGTAAAATAAAACAGTAATTTCCAAGCATTGTATTTTTGTTTAAGTTAATAGTATTTTAACTATAAAATAAAACACTGCAATTTAAAAAGTATTGTATTTTTGTTTACGGTAATAGTGTTTCAANACACAGACATGTTATTCCAAAATGTATTCAGTTCAGATTTACAAAAGTAACTGTAATCAGATTACTTGTTTTTCAAATGTAACGCGAGCTAAATACAGTTACTTGATTTTTGTATTCTGATTATGTAACGCCGTTACATGTATTCCAACCCAACCCTGCCCACCCCTTACCCACATCGATTCCTGTCTGACAGCTATTAAAACTTGGATGCAACATAACCTCCTCAAACTGAACAGCAACAAAACAGAACTCCTCCTAATCGTCTCCAAATCCACCCTCAGCAAGGTCACTAACATAACACTCACCATTGATGGCATCATTGTTTCCCCCTCCAATCAGGAATACAACCTTGGCGTAATCTTTGACCCCACCCTCTCCCTCGAACCTCACATCCGCCAAACAGTCAACACCTAATTTTTCCACAATAATGCAAAAATCCTACCCTCTCTCACCCGCCCCGCAGCCGAATGACTAATCCATGCCTTCATTTCCTCCCTCCTCGACTACTGTAACTCACTTCTTTACGACATCAGCACTACATCCCTCAACAGACTCCAACGGGTTCAAAATGCTGCTGCACGTCTCCTTACGCATACCAAATCATGGCATCACATCACCCCAGTCCTCAAAGACCTCCACTGGCTTCCTGTCTCCCATTGCATCAACTACAACATTCTGGTCCTCACCTACAAAGCACTCCACCAGCTGGCCCCCCCTTATCTCAAAAACCTTCTCACTCCTTATCAACCCCCACGGTCCCTCAGATCCACCGCAGCCGGACTCCTATCCATTCCCACATCCACACTCTGCAGCTTTGGGGACAGAGCCTTCTCAGTGGCAGCTCCTAGGCTCTGGAACTCCCTCCCCCAAGATCTCCGTGATTCTGAGTGACTCCCTCACAGTCTTTCAGTCCCGCCTCAAAACACATCTTTTCAACTCTGTCTACCCATAAGCCCCCCCCTCCCCTCTCAATCAACTTCCTCCTGAATGCCTTTGTTTTTTATTTTTTATTTTACTATATGTATTTGTTTGCCTGTCCTTGTTTGTCTACCCTCCCTCATACTGTAAAGCATCTTTGAGTTTTGAAAAGCGCTATATAAATAAAATGCATTATTATTATTAACACTTGATGTTGTACAGCAGAGACATGACACAGCGTTTGACACTTCATTATCTGTGTTCTGCCCTTTCAGTGAAACTGGTTATACTTAGCTTAGCTCCACTCATGAGGCTTCCTGTGGAAGAAGCCAAAAGCAGGGCTGCTGCAGTGGGTTTCTTTAAGGATCTTGCTGATGCTGTGTTCATTAAGAAACAGCTTTCACAGTATGTGAGCCTTTGGCTTTTGGCTAATTAAAGTTAAGTTGAAGAGCTCCATGTAATACAATTCATCATATGTGCTGAGGAAGAGCCCTCAGTACTTGACTCTCCTCTAACTTTTGCATAATTAATCTTTACAATAAACGCTGACCTCCCTTCTGTGAAATAGAGGAAGTGACTAAGGCAAAATGATATCTTGCATTTCATGTGATAAGCTGTCAAAAGATCCCCTGAAACATTTAGTGTTAGATCTTGGAACCCACATTGTGGTTTTATGCCGCCGTGCTGAGGCAGCATTATGTTTATGTGTTTTCCTTCTGATTCTCCTGAAACACAATATCTGCAGAAAGCCTGAAGGGAAATTCATCAAATGTTATGTCCATTTGGATTCAAATATCAGCTTTTGGCCCCTGAAGGTCAAGTTATGTTTTTGGTCATAACTCAAGCATTGATATGCTAGGGTTAGGGTTATAATTGTTGAGGTGATAACATTTTGAACATGTGGATATAAACTACATCTTGACTGGTTGGCAGGGGCATACAATGGGGTACATGTCATGTTCCTGTGATGCTGACTGTTTCCTGCTGTGTCTGCAGGCAACATGAATCCCCTGTGTGTGATGCAGTTAGACGATCCTCCACAGAGGTTTAACACCTCCGTGCTGAAGAACACAGCCAGTCCATCCTGGGACCAGCCCTTTATCTTGTAAGTTTACCAAGCACTGCAAACTATCACTGTTTACAAATATTATTATCGATCAATATCAGCATTCTCTATCTTATCTTGAACTTGTCTTTTATTTTGTTTCTTTCCAGTGAATTGAATGGACGATCAAAAGAGCTCATCATTCAGTTAAGGAATGATGGACAACCTCAAGAGAGTAATGACCTAACTGCTTTTCATGTTTGTGTTGTATTCGTTGTGATTAAGAGTTATTTTATTCATGTGTGTTTTCGTTTTGTTAGATTCATTACTTGGTCAGGTGTCGGTGCCGTTTGATCTCGTAAGGAAGCAGCCCAAAGGACAGCAAACATTTGCACTCATGACCAAAGACGTAGTGACTGGATCACTTACTACTGATGTAAGACCATCATCCCCGTTATAATAGATTCATTTGAATGATCTTCTTCTTTCTGAGGGTTTCATCTGCACAATAGAACATTAACTGGTGATTTACCCCTTCAGTTTACCTACCTGGAGCCCAGTGAGGTGAGGTCCTGGCTGCCTCCCACCCCCGCCTCCAATAAGAGGGTGGAGATGGACCGTACTGTAATGCCCTGTGGCACGGTGGTCACCACCATCACTGCAGTGAAGAGCAAGCCAGGGCGACCCCTCCCACTTGGACTCAACACAGGTACAGCAACACAAACTGTTCAACAGCAAAGATCTGACAATGATAACCTAATTCAGAGAAGACATGTCTCATCATTATGGAAGCCTTAAGGGCAAGTGAAAAACATCTGGTGATCTGTTATAAGTCTGATGTTTTTGTTTTCTCTCCTGTGTTTTAAAAGTAAATATGTAAAAATACATTTTTTACATTTTTTTTTCTACATCTATAGAAAAAGGGCCCTGTGAAACCAATCCGTACTTCAGGTTGAGCTTTCCATGCACTCTAAACACAAGGTGCACCTTTTGATCATTCCTAGCTAGAAGAAAAGACATGGCAGTAATGTTAACTTGCTAACACACATTATTTACCTTGTGTTTAGAGTGCATGGAGAAATCTAAGCTTACCTTTTAAGAAAACCTCAATTCTTAAATGACTATTTAGAAGATGCGTTAGTGGTGCATACGTTTCCCTACAACGGCAACAAACTATTTCAATACAATTCTGACAACAAAGAACTCACCTGCCAAAAGTGTTTCCTACCTTTAAGGTACACACGGAATCCCCCAAAAGGAAAACAGTAATAAAAAGGTTTATGTTTGATATATCTAAAACTTGATTATACTTTATAAATAATGTAATAAAGAGGTATATATTCAAACATTTAGATTCAAACATGCAATGCAAAGATTGTCCCCAACTATATGTTTTGTGTGTCAATAATCTCAATTAGAATCAGACCATTTCATGAACATGACCCGACATCTACACAACAATAGGTGCAGCAATTAGTAAGTGTGATGAAAAAACGTTTCATTTTGAAAAGTATAAACAATAGTGATGGCCTGTTGGTTAGCAGACATGGTTATGCCTCAGTAGGAGATGTTTGTGGGGTGAAGCTAACGATGTGCTCCCTCAGATGCTGCTCAGAGGCCAGCGACCATCAGGCCCAAGCTGTCGGAGCGGTGTGTGTCCGAGCACGCCACCATGCTGGGGGGCCCCGTCAGCAAGGCCCTGTCCTCCTCTGACACGGAGCTGCTCATGCTGAACGGCACGGACCCCGTGGCCGAGGCCGCCATCAGACAGCTGCACCAGTCCGCCAAGCAGAAGCTCAAGTCCCCGGTGAAGAAGAGCACCATCATCATCTCTGGCATCGCCAAAGTAAGGAACAGTTCCAGCAGAGGACCTCACTGGTTATTTTTACACTTCACATCAGTAGAACAGTTCCACCAACTAAACATATATCATAATCAGAATACTTTATTTATATATGGGAAAATTGGATTTGAGTTTTGGGTGATATTGGGAAAATCGGGTGACAGTCATTTGTGAATTATATAAAGTAAACGTAAAAAATATGAATACATAGTATAAATCTATATATTTGTTTACATTTATGAAATAAGAAGTCAAAGTAAGAATGTGCAGTAACACAAATAAAATAGAATAAAGATCTTTATATAAACAAAAGAGACGTCCAATAAAGATGTCCAATAAACGATTAAAGAAAAAAATGGAATAAGAAAAATGATACGAACATAATATATGGTATTATACAGCAGGGCTAGCCAGTGTTTAGGTCAGGGGTGGGGAACCTCCGGCCTCCGGGCCGTATACGGACCGCGAGACCATTTGGTACGGCCCTCGAGGTGATTTATAAACACACGCAAAAAAGAAAAGAATTAAAGAAATCTAGACCGCAAAAGAATTAAACAAGCGAGTGCCTGTTTTTCCTGCCCAAGGTCAGGGTCCTTGAACACAACACGAGCCAGAGCCGTACACATGCCGCAGTTTTTGCGTGGCTGTGTCTTTAGTTGTAAGCCCAGTGGCGATCTGCTCATCTGTCATACTGATCATACAGTCAATAACTTTGTTGTTATTAGCATCTGGTTAGCTAGCTATGCTAACGAATATAAGAAGCTTTTTCTACAACCAGTGAGGTAAAGGCACATCTTTATATGATCATTATAGTTATACAAAAATAAGAGATTTAAAGTAAACAGGTATAAAATACTATACAGATGTAGCGATTCATTTCAGACAGTTTGAAACGCGAGGGCCGTGATTGGTACGTGATCTGCCCTCGCTCAAGGGAAAACCTCCAGTTTGACTTGAGACCGCCCCCGTGATAGATAAATGTAATTATAATGAAGCCAGCTGCAATGGATCATTGATCCACCAGGGGGTGCAGTGGGGTTCCACACTGGAGCTCATGTGAAATAAAGTCAGATACAGTACGCTGGATGTACAGCGGAACTTTGTTAAGATCCATATGTTACGGATATAATACTACTGTGCTAAATAAGAGACATGTAATCATTTACAAAACATCACCATGTTGTTATTTAACAAAATAATTTTGTTATTCGAAAAAAACTAACGGGAGGAAATGCAGCCCGGCTCTCGATTTGTAATCCTAATTTAATCATCATCTTCACCACGATCATTTATGTTTATGTTCGCCGAATTGACATGAAATCACTGACACATATGAATATACACATATGAATATACTGTATTCAGGGCGACTGTGGCTGTGCGGGAGTGTGGTCGTCTTTCAACCAGAAGGTTGTGGGTTCGATCCCAGCCCATGCAGTCAACATGTCGATGGACATGTTGACTGCATGGGCTGGGATCGAACCCACAACCTTCTGGTTGAAAGACGACCACACTCCCGCACAGCCACAGTCGCCCTGAATACAGTATNGTTACCCTCACCTCTGTGTCTGCCTGTTACCCTCCCCTCTGTGTCTGCCTGTTACCCTCCCCTCTGTGTACCCTACCTCTGTGTCTGCCTGTTACCCTCACCTCTGTGTCTGCCTGTTACCCTCACCTCTGTGTCTGCCTGTCTGCCTGTTACCCTCACCTCTGTGTCTGCCTGTCTGCCTGTTACCCTCACCTCTGTGTCTGCCTGTTACCCTCACCTCTGTGTCTGCCTGTCTGCCTGTTACCCTCACCTCTGTGTCTGCCTGTTACCCTCACCTCTGTGTCTGCCTGTTACCCTCACCTCTGTGTCTGCCTGTCTGCCTGTTACCCTCACCTCTGTGTCTACCTGTCTGCCTGTTACCCTCACCTCTGTGTCTGCCTGTCTGCCTGTTACCCTCACCTCTGTGTCTGCCTGTTACCCTCACCTCTGTGTCTGCCTGTCTGCCTACCCTCACCTCTGTGTCTGCCTGTTACCCTCACCTCTGTGTCTGCCTGTTACCCTCACCTCTGTGTCTGCCTGTCTGCCTGTTACCCTCACCTCTGTGTCTGCCTGTCTGCCTGTTACCCTCACCTCTGTGTCTGCCTGTTACCCTCACCTCTGTGTCTACCTGTCTGCCTGTTACCCTCACCTCTGTGTCTGCCTGTCTGCCTGTTACCCTCACCTCTGTGTCTGCCTGCAGTAGCAGCGGCTCCAGGCCGGCGTCCCTTAGCTCTCCTGCCCCGGCCCTGCGCTCTCTTTGGGGCCGGCTGAGCTGCGGGGGGGCCGCCCTCCTGCTCCTCGGGGCCCATCAGGCTCTCCTCTTGGGGCAGGAGCGGGTCGACAGGAAGCACCGCTGCTGTCCTCACCTCATCAAGATGAATCAGCAGATTGCCTGAAGGGGAATCAGAGCATGTTACCATGATGCAGCACTTCCTCAGCTTAAAGATTTTTTTAAGATAGATAGATACTTTATTCATAGCAAATTGGGAAATGATGCTGTTACAGCAGGCATTCAAATAATTAAAGGGTGGAATTATAAACAAAATCAAATAAAAACAAAACAATACAATAAACAGCAAGTTTATATACATATCTACAGCAGAAAGGACCTTAACCAGAAAGAATACCCAATATATATTACATTACAGTAGCATATATACATATGATTGTATATAGATTACAGTCGTGTAAAGTAGCTGCCGTGCAAAATGTTCATGGTGACGGAGAGGGAAAAACTCAAACTTTTGAGCAGTGCGTTCTCTGCCGGCCAGAGGGGGGTTAACAGTCAGACATCACCATGCTGGACTCCATGTGGATAGAAAAAGATGAAAACTTCCATGTACTGCAATGTAAAGCTAAAGACCCTTAACTTAGCTTCTCTGTGACTCACAGAAAAGGACATTTCTAATATGGACTGATGGAGGTGCTCAATGTTTTTAATGACCTCACCTGCAAGATTCTTTTCAGCCACTGGGGGCACATAGGCTGCAGTTTCCTCAGAGGTCTCTGGTACTTCTGAATTAAAAAAGAGAAAATCCATAAGACGCAACTCACACTGTGGCCATGAAACGCATCAGTGCTGCAGTGGTGTGAAGTAACTAAGTACATTTACTAGAGCACTGTACTTAAGTACAATACTTGAGTATTTCAATTGTTTGCTACGTTGTACTTCTACTCCACTACAATTCAGAGTTAAATTGTTTACTTTTACACCACTACATGTATTCAATATCTTCAGTTACTTTACAGATGTGGATGAATGATGTGAAATATAATCAAATGTTAAATCAGACTTTAGTTCCACCTGGAGTAAATCCACAAGCTACCCTGCAGTATACAAAGTCATTCAAACTAGCTGCACCTTTACCAGCTTTGAGAACACTTTCATGATCAATCATTATAAAACATATCATATATATTATTCTGAAATGGACCAATCTGCACAATGACTACTTTTACTGTCGCTACTTTCACTATATTTGGATGCTTATACTAGTGTACTTTTACCTGAGTTTAATTTTGATTGCAGGTATTTTACTTGTAACAGAGTATTCCTACACTCTGGTACTTCTACTTTTACTCAAGTACAAGATCTGAGTACTTTTACTTTTACTCAAGTACAAGATCTGAGTACTTCTCCCACCTCTGCTCTGCTGTGTTGTGATGTCACCTACCTGGTGGAGGTGCTGGTTGGAGTGGAGGCTTAAGCATATGCTTCTCCATCTTCTTGGCGTAGAAAGCTCCGTACCACACCCTCAGCTCTGCTCCTGGCAGCACATCCTGGGAATCAAACAGCAAAAGTTACTTCACACCAATCCTGTGTGAGAAAATAAATGAGCCGATTAATCCCTAAATCTGGACCCACAGCACAATTCTGAAAGGCTCAGGTTCAGGATGGACACACACCTGCGAGGTGTTGAAGTACACGTCCCCATCCAGCTGGTAGGCCGTCAGGTTCTGGTGTGTGTGCTCAGAGGCCGGGCGCACGAGCATCATCCAGTTGCAGTCTTCTTCATAGCTGGAGTCCAAACACACCACCACGGAGTCCTTCTGGAAGATCTGAGCATTGGAGGACGGCCGGTTAGCACACATTCATTTCAGAGCAGAGCAGCAAGTGTTTCTTACTAAGTTGGATGACTGTGCAACTTAAAAATTGTTATAATTAAATCAGGAAATTGAATTTAGAATGCACTTTGATTATACTTCTTAATATATATATGTAAAATATAATACACAGTATTCATGTGTTAATAAGCCTACTTTTCAAATAAATTCAGTCAATTAAAAGTTGAAATCATTTTCTAACAAATCTTAGATGATAAAAAAAATAAAAAAAACTTATTTACATAGTAAGCTTGAAATATGCCCTTCCTATTTCCCCTTATTCTAATACATCTGAAACTTCTGTTTTAAGGAGCTGCCAGTTTTTTTTGTAACTTAATAAATGAAACCCTATGGAGAGCTGTTGTAGACAGATTATTTTCTTAAAGCATGTTCTAGTGTCAAGCATCATTTACCTATACATTCGATTGATTTTGCTAACCTATATTTTAACTTGAGGCAGAATACCTCACATCTTGTGAGGGGCCAGCCCTTTGTAAATGTTCTGCATGAGGCCCTCAGTGAAAAAAGTTTGGACACCCCTGATCTAAACCATATCATGGAAACTGCCATATTTTAAAAAATATGTATATATTTGAGGCAGGAAAAAAATCAGGACATTGGGAAAAATAATTGGTATTGAGCAGGAAAAAGGCTGTAGATTAATCCTACAACTAACCGACATTTCTTTACAGGACAAGACTGACCCTGGTAAAGAGAATTCTAATACATCAAATTAAAACCAGTAGATACACAAACTGTTCAGGGCTTCTCGGGCTGCACCTTCAGAGGGAATGCTCCTTCCTGCTCCAGATGGGGGACCCTCTTAGCCTCAAAGGGCCCAAAGCGGGTCCTCTTGACAAGGCGGCGCAGCACAAACACCCCCTCCTGTCCATCGGACCCCGGTCTGATCTCCAGGCTGCTCGGTAAAGACGACCTGACCCAGGACAAGAAGAGTATTCTCGTTAAAACGGCAAAAACACAAAATCTGAATCAGGTTAAAGGAATTAGCTTTGGTGTAAAGCGATGCATACAGTACATTTAATTGTTTTTGAAAAAAGGAGCAAACTACTATGAAAACTATTCTAAATAAAAAAATAAAAATAGAGAAGAAAGAAACCTACGGAGCCCTGGAGGGTTCATAGAGAGAAAAATAAATAAAACGAGGCCACGTTTTATTAAATTTGTGCGCACGAGATGTAATTCGTGGCCTCAATTTAATAAAACGAGGCCACGCGTTATTCATTTGTGCGCACAATATACTTTTCGTTCGCACGAGATACTTTTTTTTAATGGTAAAACACATCGAACTGCCCGATTATTACGCCATATTATTAGTTTTATGAAGAATATGTCAGGTCGCCAGGGCGTGTGTGTGTGTGTGTGTGTGTGTGTGTGTGTGTGTGTGTGTGTGTGTCTGTGTGTGAGAGTGTGAGTGTGTGTGTGTGTGTGTGTGTGTGTGTGTGTGTGTGTGTGTAGGCATTTGTTTATGATAGTGTCGTTCGTTCTGGTGCACTCCGGCAGGACTATAGCACTACATCGAGATTAAGATTAAACAAATTTCTTTCACTTGGGAATTCACATATAACTATAGAGAACCAGGTGTGTGTAAATTACTGTTTGTGGTAATTTGAAAACAAATGCCGGTGTCGGACACACACAAACACACCGAACACACACAGAGCGGAGCTGAGCACAAACACACATCATGCTGGTGAGCGGACATCTCCTTCATAAAACGAGTAATAGGGGGAATACTCGGGCAGTGTGTAGAGGTGTGTGTGTGGTTAAACGTAGCAGCCTCGATCTCTATTCAGCGTTTCTAATGAAGGGACACACAGTGAAGTAAACAGTAAAAGGCACAGCTCTTTGCAGCTGGTGCTGCTCTTCTCAGATTCTGCTGAGTTACACGTTACTGCCTCCAGTGCCCTGTACGACGAAGCCAGTTCAACAGGCCCTGGATATGTTTGATTTACCCGGCTTAACTAACCCTAACAAACGCGATCTCGCTAAGCGGTCCTACGACGCTGGTTATTAACTCAGTATTAATCAACCAGGGTTTCTCTGTCCGGCTGAGAGCGCGTTCACCTGAAAGGGACGGGGTTAGCAACATTTGACCAATCACAAACATGGACAAGCGTGCGTCATACGTAGAAACCTAAATATACTCAAGTAAGATCCATTATATTTCCTTAGTATTTAATATAATGTTTTTAAATATACAGTTAGTCGATTATATATTAAGGCATTTATGCAAAATAAAATGTGGATTTGCGTGTTTGCCAGAAAGGGAAGAATCTGCACTGCGCTCTGTACACACAAACTATCTCTTCTCAAGGTCTGAAATATCATAACACATACACAGGCTGCTCCTAAAGGGGGGCTTTATGAGCAGTTTACATGTCTGCAGCTTGCAGGAATCACACTGTGAATTGAACACTGTTTAGTGAAATGGATGGAACCACGGCAGTCAGAGCTGTCACTCACCGGGCCCTGCTGAGGACGTAGGAGTCCTGGACAGTGACCAGGGGCCCCAGCTCGGGACACTCAGAGTCATGGTACTGGCCACAGTCCTCACACCCTGCAACACATACACAAATATAAAAAATGAGCATTTTGGTTCCCCTGCATCATTTTAAAGCACAGCTTGAGGAATTGATATGTGATACTCCTGGTATCTGTCTTTGTGAATACGTTTGTAAATTGTACCACACACACACACACACACACACACAGTCAGTGAATGCAGCAGCTGGACTCATACTCACAGATGAACTCATCTGGCGTCTGCTCAGCCATTATGCCAACCTAAAAAAGGAAGAAAAACATAATAAAATATCATGTCATTATTAGGGTCTGCCAACTAGCATGTATTTCCTCCAGATCGTCTCTGAAATATGTGTCTTTATATCAAATAACTACTTTAAGAGTGTCAGAATGTAGTAGTAGTAGTACTAGTAGTACTAGTAGTAACCCCCCCCCCCCCCCCCGCATACACATAACCCGGGTTATGTGTGGAGTGCATACACATAACCCGAGACACGGAGCTGCAGTGCCTCAGAGCTCCAGGCTGAAGGCATCATGAAAAACATGAGCTGTTTTCCAGTATAGCTACAGCTGGAGGATGCATGTTAACGTTTTTGCAGTCCAGGGATCCAGGATTTGAGTCGCTCCCAAACTGTAGCCGGGTTTTAACTCCGATCTGAGCGGCTCCTTTTCACTGAAATGTAACAAAGAACAGTCGGCATGGCGGATGGACCGGAGACGCAAACCAGCAAACCGGAGTCGCTGCTGTTCAGAGGCCGGCAGAGAGCAGATGGAGAGCCGGGAAAGAGCTCTGAGCGACCCGGACACTGCGGCTGCACCTGGACTATAACACTGCGGCGCCATTTTGTAAAATACTGATGTACATTTAGAGAGAAACACGTTACCTTTCCTGCAGAAGACCCTTCATTTAGCGAATCCTGACTCCGGGTTCCAATCCGCTCCAGAAACGGCGCAGGACCGGAAATGAACAGAGCCGAGTGCATTGTGGGGAATGTAGGCGCATGCAAATGCAACTCAATTAAGCTTCGACTAGGAAATTTGAGGTTGTATTGAAGTTTACTAAGCAAAAACTATATTTAAAAGAACATACCTCTTAATTGTCATTTAAGTTCCACAAAACCTTGTAAAAAATAATTTAGAAAAAAATATCACTTGTAGGCTGCTTGTTTGCTATAAAAGTACTGCATTATAAGTAAAATTACAGAAGTCTTTTCAGTCAAATGTGCTCAAAGTAACACATTTTAAAATACTCCTTATGCTGAATGAACCCTTACAATAATATATATAATTATATATTTTAAGGGATTATTATTTCCTATATTTTTGTTGTAGCTGGCACAGCTGATAATAATAATAAAATGGTACTCTCGGATAGCCATTTTGCTCTGCCATAGTCCTATAATACATAATTTTAATTAAGTGGAAATGTCTGCCGTTTTTCATTTAAATATATATTTATATTTTTGCTCTTCAAATAAAGTACCAAATAAATGTTTTTATCATGACACAAGAAAACATGATGGATTTTGCAACACTAGAATGATAAAAAAAAAACACATAAAAACAATTCTCGATTTTCTAAATGAGCAAATATTAGTACACTTGCAATTTTTTCGTTTTTAGAAGATATACCTCTTCAAAATCACTTTATGCATTTTTAAGAGTGAGATATGATTTCACTCAAAAGTACATCATTTGCTATAGCCTGATAAAAAACATTTAATAGATATTGAAAGAGGACCTAATTTAAGCACCAGAAGTGGAACAGCAAATCAACATGTACAGTTTTAAAGACACAGGATCAATGGGGAGCACTCACTACCACATACTCAGTACTTTAATCAATATTTATTGCTGAAAAGGAATTACCTCAATGTTTATATTAGTTACAATCCCTGCAGGGAAATGACTGCAACAACAGCTAAGTCGGTCCGTTTCTGTGCACAGAGCATATGCCAATAAAAAAACATCAGGAAGTAGTTTCTTAAACACACAGCACTACTGCTTACTGAATGTACACCAGTAGATGCCTGCAGGCTGCCATTAGCAAAGGCTCTGAAGCTGAACATGATTAAAACCACTCTTTTCCTCATCTCTAACTCAGAGTGCAAAGGTAATCACATTTTCTTCATCCCCAATCTGGGCCCACAATGTTTTAAAACAGACATTAGTCAACAATGGTAAAAGACAAATGACAACCCACAGTATATCTGCAGGACAGTATCATGAACAGCGAGTGAGGCTTTTTAATTCTCAGATAGTCTAACAATGTAAACACTCAGTTAACAGATATGTTATGTGCATAGGCTTCTTGATTATAGATGCTGCTGATGTTGCAGGAACATGGGTGTACCCTTGTCTCATTTCAACAGTTTGCTACAGTCCTCCAGTCCTCTGATGTGGCGTTAGATGCAGCCTCAAGAACCAAAAGTCCACCTGTGACATCATCCTCAGAAAAAAGTGTCAGGCAATCCGTTAGTGCTGCATCATTCTCTGAGTACACTCGCTTATTAAAGAAACAGTAGTTAACATGTTGGACAGAAATGTCTTCAAAAAGCTGCTCACAAAAAGAAAATACAATCATTAGCTGGATTTAAAAAAAAAAAAGTCTGTTCACACTCATGTGTTCGTTCATAGTTACATCTTATAAAAACAATAAGATATCCAATAAACAATTTCATTTTCAGATAAAATGAATGTAGACTGCGTTCCAATGCGATGGTTATGGCCGAGTCCCTGCACAGAGGTTCATTCATTCCCTTTTGACACATTAACAACCCTGATGATAGTAGTGAACAGTAGTGAACAGGAAGAATCTTTTCGGAAGACAAAGGAGAAAGTTGCATATCATTTAAAAAAACACATTTAGCCGAGTTTCATGTTCTTTTTTTTCCTATTGGAAGGGTAATAACTTATTCATGATAACATGTTCCCTGTGCATGCCAATCATCCATGACTTATACTTCTATGTTAGACATAACGCTGACATTATGCGGATAGCTTCGTTTTACAGCTTTTATATGCACGGTAGATATAGCTGTAGTTCTGATCTTGTTATCTTGGAATACCATTACAAGGATTTCGAATGAACTGATTTAAATACCATATTTCATAGTTTTAGTGTCAAAAAGTAGTCGTATTACTATCTCCCACATTTAAAAGATGGTCTCCCTTTGTTAATGTTTTCAAAATGAATCTCTGTCACCAGAGCAGATCCTGTCATTGCACTTTAAATAAAGATTCCAAAACTGTGCAAATCATACAAATACCACTCTATAGTTCATCTTTGGTCCTGTTGGTCCTCCGTAGGAAATGTACGGATTGCAGCAGGGAGAGTTTACTCTTCCCCCTCAGTGTCTGTGAGGTAAAGAGTGACAGCCGGTCCCTTCTGTCAGTAACAAGGCCACAAAAGCACTTAAAAGACTTCAAAATGTTGCATAAAATCAGATAAAGGAAACATGCAAAATACCATTAATCCCCACACACACACACACACACACACACACACACACACACACACACACCTGTCTCTCACAGGTAGCAGGAAACGACAGTAAAAACAGTTTTCCATTTGCACAGCTTTCCCATTCACAATGCAGGAGTCCCAGTATATATTGGGGGGGGTCAATTAGCCAGGGAGTTAGCCAGTGCAAGTTTGAGGTGGAGGTGATGGTAGTTGTTGTAGGAGAGACTGAGGAGAGCAGGGTCACACATGTGGCTCCCCCGTAGAGGTAGGGCCGTTGGCTTTGCTCTTCCTGCTCTTGCGGGTGAGCATGCGGCTGAGTGTGGCGGTGCGGCTGGCCCGCTCCACGGCGGCCGGAGACTCCAGGTACACCAGGTCATTGTGAGACTGGCTCATCCCCGGGTCCTTGCGCTGGTGACGGCGGCGGAAAAACAGCTTGGCACTCTTCTGGAGGAAGCTGCCTGTAGAGGGGGATAAAGGACAGGAAACATACAATGTGATATCATGAGACAAGGACTGTGTCAAGACGACACCACTCAAGGCTGAATCAAGCTTTGGAGGAAGCAGACATTTGAAGACAGCTAAAGCAGCAATGACTTTATGTTAGTTGGAGAATGTGGATTATTGATGGAGATAAAATCTTGCGTGTGTGGGACGGGTTGGGGAAAATGTATTCTATTTCTCTTTGACTACAAGTCTTTCGTCTGTAAAAGGTCCGTCCAGATTTGGATAATGAAAATCAAACTTGGAAAAACCTTTATCACTGTCTTCACCAGCTAACACACAACGAACCAACAGAGAGCAGCCACAGTGTCCAACCTTACAGCGAGCATTACTCCTTCTTTTCAGCACATAAGGAGTTTCTGGGCCCATCTGTGGACACGATGAGGTTGATTAAAGAAAAAACACTAAAAACGGTTGTACCGTATGTCATTTTAGTTTTACATTCAACATGTCTATTTACGAGCTTGAATAGAGCCTTAAATGGCTGTTGTCTAAAGAAATACATTTTTTGTTACTTAAATTGTAGTCATTACATTTTTTTTTTTTTTTTAAAGGTCCCCTATTATACTGTTTTTCATCACTATATTATAGGCCTCAGATATATACAAAACATGTCTCTGAAGTGTTTGTCTGAAACACCAAACAGATCATTGCAGCATTACCCATAATCCCCTCTGTTTCAGCCCTGTTTCCAAAGTGCTGATTCTCTGTCTGTTAGTTTAGATGAAAATAAGGAGCCCCTCCCCACGCCCCTCTGAGAGAGATTTGGTTACAAAGAACTCAATGGTGCTCTAGGAGGAGATTCAGGTGATAAGGGGGGGGGGGTTACCTTGGTTGCTGATTGGCTAATGGTTACAAAAGACAAAACATTGTTATGACATCATAAAGTGGCCAAAATCTGATCAGCTCATTTTCAGACAGGTTTTTATAGAAATGGATCAGGACAAAAAGAGAGAGAATCTTTGTTCCTGAAACTTTCAGAGTCTCTTTCCACAGAGGACACATGTTGATGTAGAAGAGACATGAAGAAGAGGGGACACATGTTGATGTAGAAGAGACATGAAGAAGAGGGGACACATGTTGATGTAGAAGAGACATGAAGAAGAGGGGACACATGTTGATGTAGAAGAGACATGAAAAAGTGGATTTTGCATAATAGGTAACCTTTAAAACAAACTACCAGAAACAATCTTACGCAGCCACCACAGGAATCTAACAGTACAAATATTATAATGCTAATAATCTGCAACTGCACACAAATACTTACTTACTGTACATATACTACGTTTTCACAGAATGAAAAGATATAAAAGCTGGCAAGATTATAAATAAAGCTTTGAAGTTTACAACTATTTGGTACAGCTCTAATAATTAAATTGAGAACAAATTAATGACACATTGGTTACATCATTATCCTCCATATAGGAGAAGGCTGAACAATATACTAAACAATACTTTATTAGTAAGGCTATGAGGAAATGTTTGATCTAGTGTAATAGCACATTTCCACAACAGCGGAAAAACGCCATTAGATTTGTAATCCAACCACTTAATCTGATATTAGAGACTAAAATCGTGAGAGTGATCTTCTGGAAGTCCGAGGCTACAATACCTTACCTTTGATAAAATAAATCATATTGTTAGTGAATATCTCAAAATACACGTTAATACTGTGCAACCCCACAACAGGTATTCTAAAGTTCTAAAATGTATCAACTACATGATTTAGTATTATCTAAATGACTTGACATAAACTTAAAATAATCTTGACATTCTAGAATAACTACTTCCTCTACTACACATACTAGAGTACCAAGGATACTACAAGTAACTGGTGAAGGAACTTACTCATCAGGACATAATGTGAGCTTAGCACTGCTCTCCTCTGAGACGGCAGTTTAAAAGGAAAGGATCAAACATTAAGAAGGGAAGAGAGAAAAGAACACAAAAACAAACTGCATCATCGAGGAGCAAGAGATATGATTTTGGAGATTTAAATTATAATCATTTATAAAATAATCGGCTATAAAGATATGTCACCATGTCCACACTTACAAGTGGCTTCAGGTAGTCAGTGGTAGAGATACATAGGGATTTATCCATTTTGATAAAAAGCACACGCAATAAGTTGATCATGGTGAATTCTCATTATTATATAATGAGAATATAATATAATCCTTAAGAGTAAATGAAACGGGATCATCTTAAAAACAGGAAAATACTTAACTTACTTTAGGATTTAACTCATTTTAGTCTGTTTTCCCCCCAAAATAAAATAGACATACGCTAGAAAGAGATGTGTGTTAAGTGATTCCAGGATATTTAAGCTGCATTTTAAAAGTTGTATGCATTATATTTATGATAACTGTCCTCTTACTACTATCCTGACAGTATCCTCTGAGAGCTCTCACCTCGTCTCTTCTTGCAGCTGGCCTCAGACACACACATTGACAGCGAGGTGTGTTCCAGCTCCTCTCCTGTTTGGCTCTCCCAGTCTTCCGGGGGCCTGCCCATCCCACTGGGGCCCCCCTGGGGCTCGGAGCTGTCTGGAGGGCTGCTGGGTCCTGAGGCCATGGCAGCCGTCACATCCTGAGTGGAGCTGGCTTCGGACATGGAGGCATCCATCGCTGCAGCGTAGCCCGCCATCAGAGCCAGCTCATCATCCTGAGACAAGGGCGTCTGGGTAATAAAGCACAACCCCATTATCAAAATCAGTTGCTAGTTCAGCAGGATTTCCTTTGTTTAACATTTGCCTATGATACAAATACTTCCTCTGGAATCATGAATGACCCAACTATTTGCATTAGCAGATATAAGGACCTGTGTCCGCCTGTCCTTTAATGTCATTATGACTGGCAGAAACCAAACTGTTTTCAACTTAAAAGCCTAGTTTCAATCATCATTCCATAATGGAAACATGAAGAGACTCTTGTTTCTTTCCTCTGTCATGATCAACAGGTTAGGGAACACAACCGCTACAAAAGAGTTGACCTAAAGCAGGGGTGGGGAACCTTTTTCCTCTCAAGGGCCATTTCCATTTTTTAACATCCTCCGAGGGCCCTACAAATTATTGACCTCTGCTTAAAAATACTAAAATCACAGCCCATTAATTTCGCCTTTCTTTCATGCTGTGCAAAGAAAAAGCAACCTCTTAATCCAGATATCTCACCATGACTCGCGCATGCATTCACGTGCACGGTGTGGCATGACCACCAAAACAGAAAGATATGGACACAAGATGTGTGCAAATGTATTTAGTTTCCTATCCATGTGAACATGATTTAAGTGGGGGGGGGGGACCTAACCTCCTCTGCGGGGGTCCGGGGGGCATGCTTCCCTGGGAAGATTTTTTTTTAAATGTTGAAGTTAAAAGCATCAATCTGGTGCACTTTGAGAGCAACATTAGGAGCTCTATGGATACATCTCAACACCCATATGAAACAAAACTGTAAGCCGTTTTATTTTTCTTTATGGATATTTTACAAATCACTCCCCTTTCAAACTGTATTCTTGTTTATTAATAACAACTTTTTTTTACTGTCATATAGTATTTTATACCCGTTTACTTTGTTTTCTTATTTTTTTTATAACTATAATGATCATATAAAGATGTGCCTTTACCTCACTGGTTGTAAAAAAAGCTTCTTATATTCGTTAGCATAGCTAGCTAACCAGATGCTAATAACAACAAAGTTATTGACTGTATGATCAGTGTGACAGATGGACAGATCGCCACTGGGCTCACAACTAAAGACACAGCCACGCAAAAACTGCGGCATGCTCCTTATCTGAAGTGCCGGAGCCGTGCTCTCCGTCAGAACTGCACCCCTGTCAGACGAGACCATGNGAAAGCAAAATGAAGAGATCTATGGATAAATCTCTCAGCATCCATATGAAAAACAGAACTGGAAGCAGATTAACTTTTTCTTTATGGATATTTTACTAATCACTCCCCTTTTAAACTGTATTCTTGTGTTACTGTCCTATAGTATTTCATACCCGTTTTTCATTTATTCTCTTATTTTTTGTATTCCTCGCAAATACTTGTTTACATAAATGGTGACCAAACCGTTTGAGACCCACTGAGATAAGTTACACTAAAGTTAACTTTCTAAACACTGAGAGTCCTTACCTCACTGAGCTGACGTTATAAGATCCTCTCAGTCTGACAGGAGTGGACTCTCCTCCACCTTGGTGTAGAAACAGCTATTTTTATATATCCGTTAGCATAGCTAGCTAACCAGATGCTAACAACAACATTCCACGTTACCGGTCGCGCACTCACAAAATGCGCTCGTGCCACACACACACAGAGCCGAGCTTGAAACGTTTTCACTTATATGATTTTTTTTTTTTTAACGGCAAAGTGGGGGGGCACAGTGACTCATTTGGGGGGTCATGGCCCGCGAATGACCCCCCATGACGCCGACCCTGGGTGAGGGTAACATAGAGTCAGGCAGGCAGGAGCAGGGACATGTGACAGCACAACGTTTTATTACTGTGGTATTCTGATTAAATAATCAAGATTCACTTTATTATCCATATAATCATGTAAATATGCCTTAAACTCTAAGCAATTCAAAGTCTTTGAATAACTAAACACTTTGTTGAGGAACAATATTTTCAAACCTCTTTTTAAAAAAACAGGTAATCTTATATCAGAAGGTAAAAAGAATATATAAATAAGTCTGTAACGCTGAGTCCAACAGCTTTTCATATTTACTCATGAAGATATCCACGATAATCTTAATAACATCAATTCACCACAATTTAATAAATAGTTTTTTAACGTGATCCACAATCAAATCTATATTGTTTCATCCCTCCCTTATTGTTACTTAACAAGTGACAGAAAGCGGTTCTTTGAGTTACAAACTTTGAGTTACAAACTTTTGAACATTTGTTGAACAAAGTTAAATCCGGGTTCGTGTCCACTGTCCTGTTCTGACAGTCATCATTAACACAAGTGTGTGTGTGTGTGTGTGTGTGTGTGTGTGTGTGTGTGTGTGTGTGTGTGTGTGTGTGTGTGTGTGTGTGTGTGTGTGTGTGTGTGTGTGTGTGTGTGTGATTTTTCCCATGAATAATTGTTGGTTTATTCTATCCTTATTTATCTAATAATAAATAACTTTGCGCTGCATTTTTTTTCTAAAAAGTGCTGCATAACCAAAGTTTATTTTCTGCTATTATTATTGATGACTTTGTATTATTATTTGACATTGTGATCCTGATGTGTGCAGATGTGAAGCTGCAGCGTTCGGGGCCCTCAGAGGCAGACGGCAGCCTGCTGAGCTCTGCAGGCAGTGGGGGGGTCCTGAAGAGACACAAAGCTCGAGAGCACAAGAGGGTGTACCGCTGCTCCCTCTGCAGCAAGGTCTTCCAGAACAGCAGCAACCTCAACAGACACGTGCGCTCTCATGGTGCGTGCATGGAGTTCTGAGTAAGGGGATATGTCAATGATTCATGTGTGGAGATCACCTTTTCAGGATTCCCTTCCTGTATGTTCTCACAGGGGATAAGCTGTTCAAATGTGATGAATGTGACAAATTGTTCAGCCGCAAGGAGAGTCTGAAGCAGCACATCTCCTACAAGCACAGCAAGAACATGGTGAGTTCACTGCTCAAGGCTTAAAGAGGCCCTGATCTGCTTTATGGGGTTTACTCTCCTGTAGTGGTCTATAGATGTGAGTGCATGTAAACGGTCTGCAAAGACTAAATTCATGTGTTCCCTCCAGAGGGAGTTTCTCTCCCACTGATCCCTCCCCGTGGAGTGACATCAATAATCAACACTTGCGCTCCAAACCCATTGTTTATGATAAAGTGAGTGGTGGGTCATCTCTAAGCGGTTGACGAATCACAACAGAGCCGGTCAGCTAACCAATCAGAGCAGACTGGGCTCTGGGCTCTTTCAGACAGAGGGTGAAAAGAGGTGCTGCAGCACAGGCAGTATGAGAAGAGTAAAGAGCTCTTTGAACATTAAAGCATGGGGACATGTCACAGTAGAGACACTACATACTGATATGAACCTAAAGATGAGCATAGTAGAGCCCCTTTAAAAAGTCTCCTGCTAGGTTACGTGTTTATGTGACTTATTTTCATGTGTTCCTGACAGCCTGACCACGATTACAAATATAAATGCAACACGTGTGAGAAATCCTTTCGCCTGGAAAATGCCTTAAAGTTCCACAACTGTCGCACAGGTCAGACAAGCTTCTTTTTTTTTGGTGGTTTAATTGAAGGTTATCTTGTCTGGTTTCTTTTTGCAAATTGTGATTGCATCCCTACCAGGCCTTATCTTCTCCTCCTCTCTCCAGACGACAAGACGTTCCAGTGTGATATCTGCTCGCGGTTCTTCTCCACCAACAGTAACCTTTCCAAGCACAAGAAGAAGCACGGAGAGAAGCTCTACTCCTGTGAAATCTGCAACAAGATGTTCTACCGCAAAGACGTGATGCAGGAGCACCACAGGAGGCACGGTGTGGGTGAGAGAGGGGGGATCCATTCAGTTCTGTTCATGTTGGTCATGCTATGTTTTCAGAATGGGAAATGTAGGAGAAATAGATAACTGAGTGTGGAATGCTAAGTTTGTGTTAAGACAAAAGCTAGACAGGCTTTTCTGAGCGCTGCACGTTTTTTGTGTGGCCACTCTGAGCGATGCTAGATGCCACCCTATTCTTCCTGTGGGATTTGAAGCTCTTTGCTTAACTAATACCATAATGCATCTGGACAGGACCAAAGCACATGAAGAGAGAGGAGCTGGAGGCTAACGGAGAGGAGGGGACCAGGTACAGGAAGGAGCCGTCCCCGTGTCCCATCTGCGGCAAGGTGAGCACTGCACCCCGCACAGGAACCCTGAGGGAATAACAAAGTACTTCCTCTGTGACGTGTGTGTGTGTGTGTGTGTGCCCAGGTGTTCTCCTGCAGGAGCAACATGAACAAGCATCTGCTGACTCACGGCGATAAGAAGTACACCTGTGAGATCTGCGCACGCAAGTTCTTCCGCGTGGACGTGCTCAGAGATCACATCCACGTTCACTTCAAGGTGAGGCAGAGGGCAACAAACTCTACACACACATTTGTGTATGTACGTTACACAGCTGTAGATTATCTTCTTGCTGACGTAGGTTAGCTATCATCCGGATATAAGGCACAGGCATGAGACCACAGACAACTCTACTTATATTTCAGCGGTTGTGAATCCATGCCTCTTCTCCAAAACAACCCTTTTTATTATAAAATAGAGCCGGAGCAGCTTTAAGCACATACAGTATTTTTGCTTATTTGTGCATAAAATATCTATCAGTTAGAAAATCATTACTCAAATAGTGTGCTCGGTGTGATATTTCACTTCACTACCATTTTTAGAGGGAAATCATCTTCTTTCACTGCACTATTTATATTTAATACAGTTTAATTTATTTCTTGATTCAGATTAATAATACAAAACAAAATCAACAAATGAACAGATATGTATTATTATTGAAGCAAGCCACAAGCCCCCTTAGAGTATACCCAGTTATTAAAATGAACTCCTTCTTTACCAGCTGCAACATTAATGTAATGCATCAATATTTATAATCCAAAGACACACACACACACAAAACTGGAAGAGAAACCAAAATGATCTTTTACACCCTCATTAAGTGAACCAAGAATTTCAGAATCAAATCATTCCTCAATACGTAGTAACACTTCTACTATAATACAATGAGTAGCAATGCATGACAACACAAGTACTTGTCTGTAAAGCCCTAAGATGGTGTATTGATCTGCGCTCACAGACATGTTGAGTCTGTCAGTAGCCGATCCTTCAGGTTGTAAACATCAACCAAATATATGTTGTGGACTCTTATGACTATATTCTCCAGGATCTCTTGTTCCCATGTTTGAAAAAAACTTGCATTCACTTGGATGTTATGTGTGAGCTGAATGATTTCATAGAGTGGTGTTTTTTGCAGGATATAGCTTTGATGGACGAGCAGGAGAGGGAATGCTTCATCAAGAAGATCGGCATCTCAGCGTGCGACAGCGACGACACGGACGATGAAGAGGAGGAGGACGACCCCGAGCACCACAAGTACAACTGCAAGAAATGCCAGGTGAGTCTGCAACACTTCCATACACACTCCAAGTTCTTTATCTTATCATATCCAGCTGATTCAGGGGGTAGAAGCATGTTCTTGAATATAAATGTTTTGTCTTTCCCCAGTTATCTAGAGCAGAGTTCATCAACATGCCCAAGGCTGTCTGATTAAACAGTGAGGAGCAGAGATTAATAAAGACAGTTGTTCTGTGTCTCTAGCTGTCATTTGCAAAGGGCAGAGAGTACCTGAAGCACATCCTGGATCAGCACAAGGAGCGAGGCTACGGCTGCGGGATCTGTAACCGCCGCTTCGCCCTGAAGGCCACCTACAACGCTCACCTGGTGATCCACAGAGAGCAGCTGCCGGACCCCGCCGTGCAGAAGTAAACACAAACATCTTCCGACTCTCACTTTAGTTGTTGTCTATATGTTTGTTTAGCCTTGTCCAGTCAAGTTGAGTTTTTGGATGAGCATGGAGACAGGAGGTCTGCTGTCTGCTGATCATATAGAACAGTATTACTTACACTACTTTAATGTTGCTGATGAAGAGTCCATGTGAAAACTATTTTCATGTCCACAAATATACTTATCACAAACTAGGAGAGGAAGATGAAGAGAAGCAGACGGGTTAGAGAATGGATTTGAATGGATTAACAAATATGTTGCTAATCAATGTAAACGTAGTGTTATCACTGTTTAGAAGGTACAGCACGGACAATTGTTGAACTATGAGATGAACAATCTGCGGTATAGGTTTTGTAATAATTTGTAATCTGCTCATGTGTCCTAAAGGTACATCCATCCGTGTGAAATTTGTGGCAGAATCTTCAACAGCATTGGTAACCTGGAAAGGCACAAGATCATCCACACTGGTGAGCAACACAGACCCGGGACAGTATGTTCCAATACATGTGAACTTTCCTCAACTCATGCTTCTATTGGCTAGTGCTACAGCACATTGCACGTGATAGGCTAAGGGACAGGACATCTCTAAGCGGTTGACCAATCACAACAGAGCCGGCCAGCTAATCAATCAGAGCAGACTGGGCTCTGGTTTCAGACAGAAGGTGAAAAGAGGTGCTGCAGCACTGTATGAGAAGAGCTTTTTGAACATTAAAGCATGGAGACATGTCACAGGAGAGGAACACACTGCAGAGGGGCTGTGATCATGAACCATGCATATTGATTTAACCATCTGATGGGGGGTCTCTTTAAGTCTTGGGATGATAGTTGCATGTTTTAATCAAGAGTGTACTTCACAAAGTTCCAACGATGTAAACATATATATATATATATATATATATATATATATATAGGATTTGTGTTTATAAAATGTGAAATCCGAAAACTACATTTTAAAAATAAATAATATCTTAAGTTCCTACGAAGTGTGCCTTGCTTTTCTCCTCTTGGAACGTATCATTAACATAAAGGCGCAAATTTGTAATGACACGGTTCGGTATACCTGCATTAATATATGGAATATTACTGTAGACAAAAATCAGTCAGTTGTATAAGTATACAATCTCTTAAATGTACATGTTTAGTAGAGATATAAAAACACGAGTAATAAATATGAATTACGGTTATAGGGATTCTATTCTAATCTAATATAATATATATAAAAATTAAATAAATTAATTGATACATAACATATATGATATATAGTATATTATATATATACGCGCGCTTTATTACACCTAATAGGTTTCCCCGTTTCTATTCAGTGACTTGTGCACCCGTTAATGGTGTAAATTACGAGGTTCTCAATGTTTATATGACCACACATGTGGTAAATACATGTAATAAAAGTCAGACCCACACGGTAGTATTGTAGTGCATGTACTAGTCAGGGAGTGGCCTCATTGGGTGTGAAATGGTTGATAGTAAGGATGTCTGTGATGCTACACCGTGATATATTTTATAGCTTCTCACATCGTGTACATCTGTGTTTTCTAGTTGTGCAGCATTGTCTTTTAGTGCTTGTATATATAGGCGTGCTTTACTAAAGACCTCTAATGGTTTACATCTATTCAGAGAGGTGCCTCATACACATCACTATATCAGCTGACGGGCAGAATATTGTTTTCATAATTTAGAGAAATAGCAACGCAGCTTGAGCAGTCGAAACCGTGTATATAACAATGCCGTTTCTATGTGAATGTATGTTTCCAAGATAGAAAAGCAAGCTACTCATCCAGGGTGCAGAGCCACGGCTGCTGCGGAATAGTGATCAATCAATTTATTCTTATTTTCGCAAGGATAGGAACAGCATGAGATGTGTAGCACGGCATTCACATGTGCATCTATGACAACGCAATCCGGCCAATCCCAGCGTGCCGCGGCGCAAATCGTAGCTGGAGGAGTCTGTTCGCCATACGTGTGGGAAGGTGACGCTCCATCGCCGTGTTACCTTCTCTCCTGTGCAGAAACACAGCCTGTTAGGATCATGCATAAGAGGGTCTTTTCTGGCTGCAGGCATGAAGAACGTAAGCACGCTCTGAGGCACCCATGAAGCTCCCACAAGGAGCATCAAGGAGCGTACGAGTGGCAAGGAGTGAGCCGCAAAGTTCGCCCAGAAGGTGAGGTCAACATGCCTGAACACTACAAGAGACACACCAGGTCAGGTCCGATGTGTGGTTCACAAGAAAGATAAACAAGGGCTTTGATACATCGTAGAACCTAGCACTAGAAACTGTCCACAAATGTTACCTTTAGGGTCATTTTAAAAGTAATCGTGAACAAGTACGTCAGGTTTGATTAACCCACAATTTTAAAGCTCACCTATTTTACGATTTGTTATCTTTTCAAATTTACAGCCAGAATATTCATTAATATCGCAACTAGCTGCAGTGCCCGTCTAAAACATGTCCTTGAAGACTCGCTCTGTGTTCCGCGTTGCAGCTTTCTCTTTGAGCAATGTCAAACCTGGAACGTAGGCTACTGCCGGGCCCCAACAGCTATATTTATTAGAAAGTGTAGATACGGAAATATTGAAATTAAGTCTTCTATTCCAGTTAAGATGTTCCCCGAAGTACTAACATGGGAAAAGCTTTTCCCCCCCCCAAAAAAGCCCCCAAAAAAAAACTTTTGAAATTAATTGGAAAACCCCCTCAAAAATCCTGGGTAAGACTAAACACTTTAAAGGCAAAAGGTGGGGTTAAACTTTCCCTTAACCCCTACAGCCGCCCAACCCCTTTCACAGGAGGGGGGGAAATTTGTTTTTTTTACCTGGGGTTTTTTTGTAAAGCCCCAAATCCCAAAACAAGGGAAAAATTTTTTTTCCCCAGAAATTTTTTCTTCCCCAAAAAAAACAAAAAATAAAAAAAAACCCCATTTTTTCCCAAATACAAAAATAATTCCCCCCCCCCCAATTATAATTAAAATTTCCTTGAAACAATTGGGGGGAAAAATTAAGTCCCCGGTTTTTCCACCTCACACCAACCCCCTTTTTTTCCCCCCCAAAGGAGGGTTTTTTTGGGGAGGATGTTTTGGAAGGAAGGTTCCCGCTTTTTTTTAAAAAAAAACAAAGGTCCCCGGGTTTTTTTAGGGAGGGGGGGGGAAGGTAGGGGGGAAAAAGAGGGCCCCAAAAAAAGAACCCAGGTTTTTTTAGGGGTGGGGGGGGGGAAAAGCCCCTTTAAAAAGTGAAAAAAGGTGGGGGGTGTTTTTTTTTTTTTTTTTTGGAAGGGCCCTTTTTTTCTTTTTTTTTTTTTTGAAAAAAGTTGTTCCCCCCCCCCCCCCAGGGGGGTTTATTTTTTATTTTTTGGGGGGGCCCCGCTGGGGGCGGGAAATTTTTTTTTTTTTTGGGGGGGGAAGGAGGAAGTTTTTTTTTTTTCCCCCAAGGAGGGTGGGGGGGGATTGTTTTTTTATTTTACCAACCCCTGAAAGGCCCTCCCCCTTGTCCCCCCAAAAAAACCGAAAAGTTCCCCGCAAACCCCCTTGGGGGGGGGGGTGGGGCAAAGGGCCCGGTTAAAAAAGAAAGGAGGAGAAATTCCCTTGGGTTCCCCCCCCCCCCCCCCAGACCGATCCCCGTAGGCCCCTTTTTCCCCCACCCGGGAATTTTGGATTTTTTTGGTGGGTTTGGGGCCCGGGGGGGGAAGAAGGGGTCCCATGAACAAGGTAAATTTGGGGGGGGGGCCCCCCGCAGGGGCCCAAAAAAAAATTGGAGGGGGGGAAAAAAAAATTTTTTTTTTGGGGGGGGGTTACAAGGGTTCCCAAAGGAAGGAAAAAGGGAAGGTTTTTTAAAATAAAAAAACGTGGGGATACCCGGTTGCCCCCTTTTTTTGAAACTGGGAAAAAAAAAAGCCAGTGGGAGGTGGGAAAAAATGGACAAGGGGGTGGGGGGGGGGTTGAAAATTGTTTGGCCCCCCCCCTGGCCCCAGGGGGGGGCCCCCCCCCTTTTTTCCCCGTTTGGTGAAAAGGTGGGAGCCACCCCTTGGGGCCCAGCCCGAGTTTTCTTTTTGGCAACCCAATTACCCTGGGGAAAGGGCCTTTGGGTTCCCCCAAAGGGGGGCCTTTTTTAACTTGGGGAAACCCCCCGAACCACAGGAAAAAAAAACCTTCCCCCCCCCGTTTGCCCAAAAGTAAAAGGGTCCCCCCTAAAAACCCCCCCCGGGAATAGGGAAGGACCCCCCCCGGAATGCAAAATGGGGAAAAGTTGAAGGGGGGGTTCCCCGCTTCGGCCCACCCGAATCCCTGGAAGGTAAGTGGAATGGGGTCCCCCCGTAAAGACGGGGGAAGTGAGAAATGTTTTCCCCCCTGAAAGGTGGAGTTTAGAAGGGCCAGACCCCCTTTCTTTGGGTGGGGGAAAACCCGGGGGATTTTTGAAAAAAATATAAAATTGGTTTTTTTTTTACCCTGAAAATAGGAGAGTGGGAAAGTCTCAAGTGGATGAAACCCACCCCAGGAGAGAGATATATTATATAAATACCCGGGACTTTTCGGGGAGACGCGGGGGGAAGATTGGAAAAAAACAGCCCCGTCCCCCAATAATTGGGGGGGTGGGAGGAAGGAGAAATCCCCCCAACCTTTTTTTTCCCCCAAGAAGGCAGTATGGCCCCCCCTTTTGGGGGGGGCCCACCAACCCCCCATGAAAAAAAAAGCTTCCCAAAGTCCCTTTCCCCTTTCCTCCCCTTGGTTTGGAAAAAGTTCTCTTTGTTTTGGGAGCGGTTTTTTAAGAATTTGGCTTTTTCCCATTCCCAAGGGGGTTTCCTTTTTTTTTTTTTATTTTTTTTTATGGCAAAATGGGGGGAAAGAAACCCCAAGATTTGAACACCAGAAGACCCCTTGGGGGGTGGGGACGGGATAAACTGGGCCAGATGGGGTTGGGGAGCGGCTTGCCTGAGTGATACGAGGGCCCCT